GGGTATTTTAGCAATTTTTGAAATCATCAGTTCGTAATACTACTGAAATACGTTTTCTTTATCAATTTAAATTCTTACGTCACAAAATATGGTCTGTGAATAGTTATTTTTTTTTATGTTGTAAATAAGAACATGGGTCACATTTATACTCATTTAATTTATAATTAAGAAACGAAAAGTTTCTAAATAATTCTTAAACAATTAAGGCAATTTATTTTTTAACTCAGTTACATAAATGTATAATAAAAAATTAACTATTTTTAAATTTCTTCGTTAACAAAAACTGTCTAATATGTATTTTTTAAAGTGGGTAAATCTGTTAAATATTTACTAATAACCAATGACAGATTTTCAACATTTATGAGGGAATCAAAAATACATATTTTTTCTACAATTTTAGGGGTTGTTTAAATATTTAGGGAGTCTAGGCCCTTTTCCTTATAGAAAGGGGTGTAGTTGATCATAATTATGATCATTTTTCTTGAGGCAGAGTTAAATAAATTATACTTGAGACATTGACATATGAGTTTAATCGTCTGTGTATAATATAAACATAAAATCTTTATTATTAACCTAAATATATCAAATAAAATTTGCTAAAGTAAATTTCGTTCGTTGCTTTACTGCTATCACAACAACTGGTGCAATCGACTGGTCGAATTTTTTTTTTTTTACATAAAAAATTTTTTGTGGATTAATTGGTAAAAATAACAAATTATGTTTTCCGATTTATTAAACCGACATCACGAAAAGAAAAATTTCAATTTTTTTTTGCATTTTTATCATAATAAACGGTAGCACAATGTGGACGTGTCATAGTTAGGATAAGTATAGATGATATCTGACAGTGATTAAAATCACTATTATAAAAAACACTGCCATGTAAATCTGTGGATAGTGTTTAGTGGTGTACCAAGGATTTTAGTACTGTGGGTCTACCTCACTGATGAGAGGCCACTGTGCAGGGGCGTTCCGAACAGTGGAGGTGTCCACCACCCGGACATATTCAGTCGGCAAATCTTAAGTGACTTTTTTTTTTTTGCAAAAAAATGTTAGTGAACACAGGTAAACTAATTTGTAGTCGGTAGTTTTTCAAATTAACACCCCGCCATATTGGGAAGACTAAAAACGCCCCTGTCACTGTGTAGAAGCTTTAATCGACTATGTATTCGATCACTAATCACTCGCAATTTACCTCATTTATATTATACTTTGACACCAACACTCAATATAACTAAATGACATAGGTTATAACTAACAATTATTAAATAAAATTTAAAACTAACTTTAGGTTAGGTAAAAAGGCAATAATGTTATTTTGATTTGTAACATTTAAATTGATATTCTTTAATATTGAGTATTACATTAAATAGCAAAAATAATAATCACAAAGAAATTAATATAAGAATTACTGCAGCGAATAAATGCTATTATGGGTTAACGAGCTTATTTAAATAAAAACAAGTATCAATCAAATCAAAAATTACATTATACAAGGTAATTATAATAAAGGTAAAGGTTTGATAATTATCAGACCTTCTTTTATATGCTTGTGAAACATGGTCAACGACCAAAGGAGATGAAGACAAAATAGCAATCTTTGAAAGACGAATACTAAGAAGAATATATGGGCCAAAAAGAAATAATATCACACAACAATATGAAAGTAAAAGCAACATAGAATTACAACAACTGTATAAAGAACCAGGCATAGCAGCAGTATTACGATATAGAAGAATCCCATGGACTGGCCACTTATAGAGGTCAAATAGCCTAATGAAAGCGGTATTAAAATGGAAACCTAGCGGGAAAAGACCACTAGGCAGACTAAAATAAAGATGGATAGATAAAGTAAAAAAGACTTTAGAAGCATTTGGAATAGAAGATATGGAAACAGAGGTAAAAAATAGAGACAAATGGAGGCAAATCTATTTTGCGGTTGGAGCCTCAATAGCCTTTAAAAAGCCGAAGAAGAAGAAACTTTAACTCAAAAAAACAATCAAAAAGTTGCTAAAAAACTACTCAACTGAACGTATTATAAAATTTTATTAGAATTATCAAAATCCTTTGTTAAATTTAGGTGAAATTAAAAATAATTTGTTTAATAAATTATTTACATTGCAACACATGACCAAAAAAATTGTAATATTTTAGACTGGTAGTAACATACACAAATATAGTTCAAAAATTAATTAATTATAAAGTAAAATTATTCAATTTTGTAATTGAAGTTGAAATCTATTATCATATCAAACCTAATTCTGCAATAAATACTTGTAAGGTATTAGAAATGAATGATTTTAATTGTCTATATGGAAAATGTAGGCTAGTATCTTTTTAATTGATTAAATTTAATTTTTTTTTTCAATTTTTAAGGGTAAGATCTTCAATTAGATATAAATTGTAATAGGTTAACGTATTGTTGAAAATAATAGGTCAAGTTAGAAGTGAGAAAATAAATGACAGCCACTAAAAAAAACACATAGTAAAATAATTAAAATATGTTTATATAGTATAAGCACATTATAGTAAAAGTAATACCTTCTCAGCTTCGATGCGAAGTTAATAATAATAAAAATATTTATAAATTGTGTTAAAACCCGAATTTATTATACCGTACTCACGGAATGAAATAAGTTTTAAATTTTTTTTGAGAGCAAACATACTAAAAAGTCTTAAATAACCAAACTATGTATATATTATTTTAACAATGGAAAAAATTAGTTTGGACCGATTGCAATCAGTTATTACCGCGAAATAGTACAAAATTGTATTTAATAACCTAACAGTATTTGTTATAATTAACCAATATTAATGAAACATTTTTGGGAATTGAGTATGTAAATATTATCACTAGAAAAGATTTTTTTTAAAATCACAATCTTGTGTTTAATATCAATATCAAAACTTATATGTTCAGGCACTAAAATTCATAAATATAAGTATGCAAATATGCACTAAAAATAAAAAGTATACCTTTAAAATAAGCAGAGTAAGGCGGGGCAAGTTGGCGAGGTTAAGCTTCTACGATATTTTCTGATTTCTGTGAATGTATTTTAAATCTTAAATTTGTATGAGAATTACTTTAATATATAGCATAAAACTACAGATTTGTGCAATAGTCTCTTACACCTTCTAGGCGCAAAATATGAGTTTTCCTGATCATTTTTGTCATTTTACCTCAGTTAGAGGTAAGATATCGAAAACACTTGTAAAGCTTGGTAACCAAAACTATTGTAAAATAAATGGGGTTTTATAAATTAATAGGTATTGAGAAATATTTTTAGAATATTTTAGAGAGAAATTTAAAACATTTACTTTAGTATATTAATTACCTAAATATAAAAAAATTCAAACCACATTAGTTCTCTGGCAAAATTTTTATATTGCATTTACTGTAATAAATATGCACAAATAACTTAAATTTATTAATTTTATAAGACAGTAGAAACAGGGGGAAGTTTTCTTAATAAAAAAAAATCTTTATTCTTTATTTATTTATAAATAATATTAAATATTGTAGATAATTACAATATAAAGAAATGTACAAAGATAGACAACATTTTGATTTATATATTATAATATATGATGATTCAACTATGTATTTATCATCTAACAATATTTTAATTGACTTATGAATTTAGATAACAAATCTAATAATACATTATTACTTAAAAATTATATTAATTAATTTAACATTAGTTAAATTAATTAGTTGTAAAAAAATAATTTTCTATAATACATTTTGTTTATAGACGAAATTATCAATGTGTATAAAATCAATTCACTAAAAAACCAATGCAAATAAAATCTTTTAATCAACATTTTTCTCTTTAATAAAAATAATAGAAAACACAATTAAATTAAAATTGTGTAATCATTTAATTTTCATAAACAAAAATGTTGAAATATGAATTATTATTATATTTATAGTTAATTATATTTAAATAAATATGATATTTACTGTTTAATTATGACTATTGACTAGTCCAATACATTTTCAAATGATAAAACTCTAACAGTGTACATTGAAATACTATTTCCATCAGTCTGCAGTTATTGCCAGTATATGAAGTTATAATTCAAAATACAACTGTATAATAAATAAAAAAAAAAAACTTATTAACTTTATACATAATTAAGGTAACGAATTCCAATAAAATTTTTTTTGTTGGAAGGGAAACAATACAATATTTAGTCATATGTATTTGTTGAAATGTTTGTAATTTTTAATGGTAAATAGTTTAAAATTAAAACAATGACTTTTAAAAACCTATTTTATATCAAATAATTCTTATTAATTATTAATTTTTAAAATTATAGTAACATATTATAAAATTTCCTCAAAATAATACATAAATAAATCATTTTAAGTAAATGTACATAAATTTAATTCGCATCACTATAATCATTTTTTAAGGTATAAATAAATTAACTTATTCTAGATTCAAATTATTTTTCAAAAATAAGTTGCATGGTAATCATAATAAATAATATATTTCAGATATTATAGTAATTATTATAATAATTCTACATACTAAGCCATGTCATAACAAAAACAAGAGTAAAAATAATGTAGAAATGTTAATATAATATTAATGAACTATAATCAATAAAAATAAAAAATTTCACAAAAAATCATATTTTGAACACAGTTAAACTTAAAATTTATAAATATATATGACATTAAACAAATTTTAACAGATAGTTTATTTATAAGAAATATTTACATAGAATAGAGTACTTAATTCTATTTTACAAAACAGTCTGATGTTGTTTTAATTTCTGATTACTTAAATCCTTCTTAACAATTCTTAGAATCTTTTTTTATATATAAATGAGCAATTTTTTTCATGAATATTACAGCAATCATTATTAATACACACAAAAACAATAAATATTGTTAAGTTATTTTGCACTATTCAAGACTGATTTATCACTTTTTGCTTTTAGTCAAAATTTTACTAACAAAACCTTTAATTCTTTAACACATTATTTAAAAATTTTTTTTTTTTTTTAAACTACTGACGTGGGATTCGTTGAAGATAATTCTAAAGATGACATGATTGTGCTTGGGTCTGACACCAAATGAGCATTGACACTTGTCTGCAAAATAATATAAATAAATACAATTTTGGAAGTTTACATAAATAAAAACATTAATATATCCATATATAAATATCGATGTTTTACAGGTGTAAGGGAATACAGTGTTAAGTAGCAATACTGTAGATTTCTTTTTTAAAAATAAGGTAGATCTTAAAAAATGATTATGATTTTATGATTAAACTACCTACTTTATGTGTATTCACAACATAACCAAAAAACTATGTATTGTATAAAAAACTAATTAATATTAATAAATTATTTTTGAATATTTTATATTTATATTTTATTTTTAAAAATAAAATATTTATAAATATCCTCTAAAATTAATATTATTTTTCACTTACAATTGTTCCAGGTCTAGCCCACGTGTAAACATATCCATTTTGGCAAGCTGCAACAAAACAGTCCTCTCGAAATACTAAAGCAGTAAGACGGTCATGAGCTATTTTTTTGCACACTAATGGTTCAAGACGTGGGCATTGATCAAAACGAGGGCATGCAGCTGTACCAATCAACTGCATAGGATCTTGACTAGGTTTTTGAACAAAAGTTGTACTACCATTTTGTTTGATATGGGATATGACACCATTTTGTTGTTTATTAGGTGCAGCAGGAATTGGTGACAATAATGTTACATGGTGTAATACATCATCTGTTATGTCCCATAAACACAATTGTGTATCATGACCTACAGAACCAAGTCTATAACAGCCTGGCAAACAAGGTTCAATTGATGCTGGAGTAGAAGTGTATGGATCAAAAGCTACTACGCTGACCCAACTATGATGCCCTTGTCCTCGTGCCACGACTCGTTGTTCAGAAATACTATAAACTGTAACTAAATCATCTTCACCACCAACAACAATATACCTAAAGAAAAAAATTAAGATAAATCATAAAAATTTTCTATTAAAAATAAATACTATACTACTAATTATATTTTTATTAAAATTTTTGTACATTATATTATTGATTTATTATCCTAAGTAATCTATATTTTTAAATTATAATCAATAGTTGAATATTATTAAATTAATGGTCTAACATACAGAAGATGTAAGTGAAAAGTTTCTTGTAAATAAGTCGGCATTAAATAAATGTAGAAAACAAAGTACTTCTTTGTACAACAATAATTATTAATTAAAAATTCAATTATTTTACATTATAGCTCTTCTTTATAGCAATTATTATTATTATTTATGACTTCATTATAGCTTATTATTTTTACTGCTCTTAAAGCAGTAAAATTTGTTTAAGTAAAACTTCTAAAAAATACTTAAAAGTTTAATTAAAATTTTTTGTGTACTACACAATCAAAATAATATTAAGTATGGTTCTTAAAATAAACATGAAAACCCATTTCTTTAAGAAATAGAAGTATATTTTCTTTTTTGTAATTTATGAGCTTTATTATAAGTAATTTATTAACATAAATAGTTTGAAATTAATACCTGCTATCTGGAGACCAACAAACACAAAGAAACCCTCCAAAATAACTGCGAGCTATTCCTATTAATTCCATCTTTTCATAATTAAATACCCTGAGAAACCCATCTTGAGATACTATTGCCAAGTATAAACCACAAGGTGAAAATTCAAATTCATTTATACTGTTACTTTCACAGCCAATTAACCATCGATACACTGGATTTCGTGAACTTTTTGTTTTACACATATGTACTGCATACCCTTCTCCAGATTTTACAAGCTGATAATTTGGTACTGATGTACCACAATTAAATGTTTCATTATATAAATAAAGTTGTCCACTTGCATGAGAAACAAGAAAAAGATGTTTTGAATTTGGCACCCATCGAATACATGTCACTTTTGTTTTATCAATCATTTTCTAAAAGTGATTGAAAATAATTTAATTAAGAAGGAATATTTTATAATATTTATAAAATCATTATATCACCTCTTCATTAAATAAAACACTGACATCTTTCCTAATAGGGTCAATTAGTTGTATCAAACCAGTCGAAAAACCAACTATAAGTGGAAGAGAGTCTTCTGTAGTTGCAACTGAATTAAAATCATGACATGTAGGGCTTATACCTTTGTAAATCTTTTTGTCAATAGGTTTTGTCAAGTCTGCACCCTACAATTAAAATAATAATTTAGCCATGCACATAAAAATAGTAAGAATAGATATTAAATTCAATATAAATAAACCTCTTTCAAATAATTTACAATCCATCCTATCTATATAATCCAACTATATTCTAAGAAAGATAATTTTTCTCTTGTGTTTCTATAGAAATTTAACTTTTTTTATTATTTTATTTTAAATTTTGTTTAAAAAATAAAAAAAAAAACCCAGCACAGGGGGGTCGCGGCACAGTTGTGACGTGGTATAGTTGGATCAAGTATAATGATATCTGACAGTGATTAAAATCACTATCAAAAATAAACGCTTCGATGCAAATCTTTAGATAGTGTTTAATTTNAATCACTATCAAAAATAAACGCTTCGATGCAAATCTTTAGATAGTGTTTAATTTTAAAAAAATTGGTGTTTTATTCCAAAAGCTACTTGATCTGCTGGTTCCTTATTAATATCTTGATTAAGATAATGTATGTCAAATGAAAAAGGGTTTATTAAAAAATATTATTTCTCATAAAAAAATTGTGTGGATCCATAAACTTTTCAATAAGTTATAGCATTATAAAGTTAAATATAATATAAATCATAAAATCGAGAATTTTCACACGAAAATAGGATTCGGTTGCCATTTTCACCATGAAGACAAGTCCAGAGGTCAAATTTTTTTTTT